GGAGGAGGCGGCGCCGGCCAGGGTTGGCCAGGCCCGAGTGGGCCCAAGGCGGATGTGAGCAGGGCCGGACCAAGATGGCGGTGCAGGTGGTGCAGGCGGTCCATCTGGAGTCCGACGCTTTCCTAGTCTGTCTCAACCATGCTCTGAGCACAGAAAAGGAGGAGGTGATGGGGCTGTGTATCGGGGAGGTGAGTAGGTCAGTCCGTTAGCCTGGCTGCAGCCCTGCTGACGGTGGGCGCTGGCGGCTCCCAGGGCTGCGGAGGCCACAGGCACCCCTGACTTAGGTCCGTGCACGTATCAGTTGGATTTGCCCTTCGCCTGGTCCCCATTTCCTCTGGCCAGCTGACGCTTGTTTAGTTTCCCGCTGCCCGCCCCCCCCCCTCCCCCGCAGCGATCTGCACAAGCCCCCGGCGGCCTTGGTTTTTCTCTTGCAGCTTGTGGCTTTTCTAAAAGGGTTAGCGCTCCATTGACTAAAACTGCACCAAGTCAGGCCAGAAAGCCACTGGGGTCTGAGGAAGACATCAGTGCATTAAGGACCCGAAGACCACGGTTAGAGCCCCTTGCCTCACCTCCAGGCTTCCCTCCAGGGCAGCAGATGTATCGAAAAAGCATTTTAAGCATATCAAGAAACCTGAGAGAAAAGGGTTTCAACGGCAGGGCTTCGAACTGGTTTGTTCCGGCTCGAACTCCTGCTGAGACTTGGGATTTCTAACAAGTTCCCAGTAAGTTAAGTATAAAAATTACCTGGAGAGCTTGTTAAAATGTAGATTCTGATTCAGTATATCTGGGGTGAAATGCAAATTGTCAGCAAAGAGTGGAACCGGGAGGAACCGGTTCAGTGCCCTGTTCTAGGGTGAGACCTCTGGGAGGGGTTCAGACCAGTTCTTCGGGTTCAAATCCCTGCTAAGAATTCGCATTTCTAACAAGTTCCTAGGAGATGCTAATGCTGTTGGTTAGGTACCAATTCTGAGAACCACTAGTAGAACAGTGGTTCTCAAAATTTACTATACATAAGACTCACCTGGGGCTCTTTTTAAACTGTAAATTCTAATTCAGTATATCTGGGGTGGAAATGGAAACCCTGGTGGCGTAGGGGCTAAATGCTACGGCCGCTAACCGTAAAAGTTGGCAGTTCGAATCCACCGGCTGCTCCTTGGAAACCCAACGTGGCGGTTCTACTCTGTCCATTAGGGTCGCGCTATGAATCGGAATCGACTGGACAGCAATGGGTTTGGTTTCGGGGGTGGAAATGCAAATTCTCAGCCGGGGCTCCAACCGGAAGGAACCGGTTTCTGCTGCGTTAAGTGTTGCAGAGAGCCGAAGGGGAGGATGAAGAAATAGAACTTGGTTGTTTACAATCAGAAGTAAGAATTCTTCCAGTCTTTCCTGCTAGTGTGCCCAAATACATGATTTGCAAATTATCTGCATCCATGTACATCGAATAAGCATAATATGGTCAATAATGTTTTCTTCTTTTTCCCACTCTAGTTGAATGATGACACAAGGTAAGACTATTTTTGGTTTATTCATCTCAAAATTATGACACTTATGGCAATATTGTGTATGGATTGTACAGTCATGCATTCCTTAACGTCCACTATATTTTCTGTGAAATCGAACACTATGTGACTTGGATATTGTGTGAGCACCATGTTATATAGAGGCAGTCCCCAGGTTACAAACGTCCACCGTACAACCTGTAGTTACGAACGAACCCCCATAAAGCCTATTAAATCCTTACGGGAGCCCGCTTCTGGTTGTCCTCATCAATAAAGCCTATTAAATCCTTACGGGAGCCCACTTCCGCTTGTCCTCATCACTGCTGGGTGTCCTTGATTTATTGAATCCCACCTGACCGCTCCAGAAAGGATTCAAGAGGGAAGGGGGCTCCAGCATCTCCCACTGCCCAGATGGCAAGAGCTCTGGAGTGAACACATTGAGGCATGGCCACCGTCTCCTGAGGAGGGACTCTGCAGGCATGAACTGTAGGATGGAACCTCCAGGGCCCCGCCTGGGGCTGGTCGGAGGTCGTGGAGCGACAGCTGCCTTCCCAAGCCCGGTGAGGCAGCTGCTTCCGCACAGACTGACCTGGGGTTCAGGGGTTTTCCTCTCATAGACAGAGGTGGGGGCTGTGCCGTCGGCCTGCTTCCCCAGCGGGTCACGAACTGTCAGCGCCTTGTGGGCCTGGAAGGGTTTAACCGGAGCGAATCATGCGGTGACGGAATTGGAGGGGCTGGCCGGGGCGGCCTCCGCTTGCACTGTGTCTCTCGCACAGCTTGGGGGGTCGGCTCGGGCCTTGGTGAGGGCTGGAGCCCCTCTGGGAATTGGGCCCCATGGGGGTGAGTCCAGACAGGCAGGGAGGGGAGCCAGGCTGGGGAGACATGCTAAGCCCAGAGAACTGGCCTTGAGATTCTAAGGCGGAATATTCAGAAGTGGGACTGCCCTTGGGGCCATCATTGAGGAAGTGGCTGGAGAAAAGTGAGTGCAGGGAGCAGAGCGTGGCCAGCCCCACCCACTATTCCACCCACCTCAGGAGTAGAAGCCGCCTCTGGGACCCCACAGCGCCCCCCGCAGAGCTCGTGCCCAGAGCCATGTCCTCTGCCTCACTGCCCATATCCCACCTATGGTCCTTTGCTGCCAGAGTCTGGATTTGGGGTCTTTAAAACCATTAAAAAAAAAAAAAATTGCCATCGATTCCGACGCACAGAGACCCTATAAGACAGAGTAGAACTGCCCCACAGGGTTTCCAAGGAGTGCCTGGTGGATTTGAACTTTCAAACTTTTGATTAGCAGCCAGCTCTTAACCACTGCGCCACTAGGGCTCCAATTAAAACCATTAGGGGGGAATAATAAACCAAAGGAGAGCTGCTTTCCCTTTAAAAAGAAAAAAAGAAAACCCTTATGGGACCAAGGATGTATATGTGGTTGGAGGGTGACGTTACGCTGTGCATGACTGTATTTTAAATTACCATTGCAAGTCAGAAGCTCCCTCATTTATCCGGTTTGATTTGCACCCCAACCCTGATTGTTGGTTTCTACCTTATTTCGTAGTTTTTTTTAGTTGAGATATGTATGCCCTTCCGTGAACAATATAGTTGGGGCAATCAAGGTCATGTGTGAAGCTGTGAAAGCTCTTAAAAGTAGAATTTTGTTATAAAGTTGCCTATTAAAGACTATCAATGTATTTGACACATGATGCTGTTATTTTCCAGTTTCTTGTTTGCTGTTTTATGTCCTCTTTCCCCTGAAATGTCAATAAGATGCTGGCTGTTTTCTTTGTGGCAGATAATGTGTGCATTAAGGCGCATTTCCCTGTTGATCTGTCCCTCCATCTAAATTGCCAGTGGCTTTCTGCCTCCCTGCTGGGCCCTACAGTGATCTCAGAGATCCACTGCAGCTTGGATGCTTGAGGTGGACAAAGCTTTAGGTAACCTTTACTTAAACTGTGAAGCGGAGCAGAGTATGTCCTTCTCAAGTTCACCTCCTTAGTACCCAGGATTCCAGTAGTGTAGCTTTATGTACTTAGATGTGTCCCAGGTTGCTTCTAACAGATGTATGATGGCAGTTCTAGGACCTCAGTTTACTTTCCCTCATCTTCCTTTGTCACTGCCAAGACTTTAGGGCAGGAACTGCTAATCATGTTATCTTCCTTTAATCCCTTCTTATATTCCAAACCCCAGCTCCCTTGTTTTCTAATTTATCCCCAATAGGAGTGACTCAAAATTTGCATATACTGGAACTGAAATGCGAACAGTTGCTGAAAAGGTATGTGTGCTACCATTTTGCATAATGGAAATTCACAATTGGGGATTGATCTAGTTTGTGCAGCCCCACATTTGTGGCTGGTTGGGGTATTCTTCTTAGTAACATCAGAGAATGAATCTACTCACTTGGAAAAGAACCTAATTTTCTGTTCTTTGTAGCACAGTAAACCAAAAAATACCAAACCCGTTGCTGTCGAGATGATTCTGACTCGTAATATCCCTATAGGACAGAGTAGAGCTTCCCCCTTAGGGGCAGTTTCCAAGGCTGTAAATCTTTACAGGAGCAGACTACCACATCTTTCTCCCACTGAGCTACTGGCGGGTTCGGACCACCGACATTTTGGCTCGTGGCCCAGCGCTTTAACCACTGTGCCACCAGGGCTCCTTGTAGCAAGTCCTCCTGGTTGCTGTCATCTGCCCATTGTCTGGTCCTTCTCCCACTTCCCTTGAGACGTTGCCATGTGGTTCACCGCGTTGTTAACCTCTTCATCCCGAGTCCCACACTCTTCTTACAGGCAGTCTATCTATAGCGTCATAGTTCTTAGTCTGCCTTGAATTTTCTCCTGGGCTGCACCCCTGCCCATCCTTTCTGGCTTTAATTCCTTCCATGATCTAGCCCAGACTTTATGGTCTAGTATAATGCTTCTCAAACTAACCAAAAACCCACAGCTGCCCAGTCGATTCTGACTCACAGCGACCCCATAGGGTTTCCAAGGCTGTAAATCTTTACGGAAGCAGACTGCCACATCTTTCTCCCACGGAGCCACTGATGGGTTTGAACTACCAACCTTTCGGTTAGCAGTCAAGCGCTTTAACCACTGCGCCACCGGGGCTCATAGGACCACTTTATTTCTTTTCCAGTCTGTTGAAGATCAATCCTGTTGTAAAATTCAATAAAAATGAATTACTTTCTCCCCTTCCCGACAAGCAGATGAGGGAGGTGATAAAAGCTATCTGGCAAGAATCCATCTACTTCTTATCCCTGTATGCGAACTTCTCAGCGTTAACCACTTTCCATATCAAGGAAGACTCCCCTTCCTAGCCAAAGCCAAATCTGCCGCTTCCTCAGAGACATTACTTATCAAATAGACCCCCTCTCTCCTGGGTCTTCAGACTCCTGTTGCCTGGCTCTTTCCCCATAGCGTACAAATATGCTTAAGGTACTCTCATTTTCAGAAAGAAAAACAACTTCTCAAGCCTATATCTTCCTGTAGCTACTGTTCTTATAAAACCAAAAACCCACTGCCATCCATCAATACTGACTCATAGCGACCCTATAGGACAGAGCAGAACTACCCCACATGGTTTCCAAGGAGCGCCTGGTGGATTCGAACTGCCGACCTTTTTGGTTAGCAGCTGTAGCGCTTAACCACTGTGCCACCAGGGTTTCCCCCTTCCCTTCATAGCCAGACTTCTTAAAAGAATAGGCTACAATCATTACTTCACCTTCCCTAGTCAAACCCACCAAGGTTTGATTTCCAATTCTCCCTTTCCAGCCATATTTTTGTTGCTACCTCCAGTGGAATATTTCTTGGTGCCTTTCTTACTCAAGCAGGAGAAAGATGTGGCAGTCTGTTCCTGTAAAGATGACAGCCTTGGAAACCCCACGAGGCAGTTCTACTCTGTCGTATAGGGTCGCTATGAGTTGGAATTGACTTGACAGCAGTGAGTTAGGTGACGTTCTTTCCCCTTGAAATTCTGGGCTCTCATGGTTTTTGCAGTGTTTCCCTCGTTCCTCTCTCCTCCCTGTACTTCATGGACTCTCCCTCCTCTGTCTATGCATTAAATGTTGGTATTTTCCAAGTTTCTCCCTTAGCCCCCTTCTCTTTCCAGAATGTCTTCCTAGGCAGCATTCCTTTCCCATGGCTTTAGCTGCAATAGATATTGAGGTCTGTTGGATCTGTCTTCAAATCCTTACTCTGCTACTTACTCTGTGACTTTGAGCATGTTGCTTAACATCTATGAGCCTCAACTTCTTTTTCTGTAAAACTAAGATTATGACAGCTACTGACCTCATAGAGTTATTGGAAGAACTGGATTTGGGTAATGTATGTACAGCGCTCAGCAGTAAAACGGGCATAATGATAGTACTAACCTCATTGGGAGAGGTAATTAAGGTAACACACGTAAACCAGCATTCTGAGTGCCTGACACATGGCAAGTACTCAATAAATTTTGGCCACTTGACTATTGTGGTGGTGGATGCTCAATAAACACTGGTTAGTGCAAATTATCCCAGGCTTCAGAACTTCCTACTCAGTTACTTACTGGACACTCAAGTGCAGGCAGACACCAGGAAAAAAGCAACAACAATCATACCCATTGCCATCAAGTCGATTCTGACTCATAGCAACCCTATAGGACAAAGTAGAACTGCCCCATAGGGCTTCCAAGGAGTGGCTGGTGGAATTGAACTGCCGACCTTTTGGTTAAGAGCTGAGCCCTTAACCACTTGGCCACCAGGGCTCCATAGGTAGACAGGCATTTTAAAGTAACATGTTCAAACTATCTTTTCTTCTAACTGACTCCTCCAGCATACACCTCCTACTACAGTAGTTCCCCGAACTTGGATATACATTAGAATCACCTAGAGATTTCTTTTAGTGCAGATACGCTGATAACGAATTCTCTCAGTTTTCGTGAGTTGGAAAATGTCTTTATTTTGACTTCATTTTTTAAGGATATATTCTTTGGGCTTTTATTTTTCTGTTGAAAAGTCCTGTTGCTCCTCAGAAGGTCATGTGTCTTTCTATTTCTGCTTTTAATTATTATTTTTTGTCTTTGGCTTTGGTAATTCAGTTATCATGTGACAAGATATGGGTTTATCTGTATTTATCTTTCTTGGGATTTAACACACTTCTTGAATCTGGAAGTTAATATCTTCCATTAGTTTTGGAAAATTCTCCAACAGTATCTGTTATGGATTGAATTGTGTCCCCCCAAAATGTGTGTCAACTTGGCTAGTCCATGATTCCTAGTGTTGTGTGATTGTCCACCATTTTGTCATCTGATGTGATTTTCCTATGTGTTGTAAATCCTACCTCTATGATGTTAATGGGAAACCCTGGTGGCACAGGGGTTAAGAGCTATGGCTGCTAACCAAAGGGTTGGCGGTTCGAATCCACCAGGCATTCCGTGGAAACCCTATGGGGCAGTTCTACCCTGTCGCTATAAGTCCGAATCAACTCGACAGCATCAGCATCGGGTTTGGTTTTTTATGATGTTAATGAGGCAGGATTAGAGGCAGTAATGTTAATGAGGCAGGACTCAATCTGCAGGATTAGGTTGTATCTTGAGTCAATCTCTTTTGAAATATAAAAGAGAGAAGTGAACAGAGAGACAGAGGGACCTCCTACCACCAAGAAAAAGTAGCCAGGAGGGGAGTGTGTCCTTTGGACCCGGTCCCTGCACTGAGAAGCTCCTAGAGCAGGGCAAGATTGATGACAAGGACCTTCCCCCAGAGCCAACGGAGGAAGAAAGCCTTCTCCTGAAGCTGGCACCCGGAATTTGGACTGCTAGCCTCTTCAACTGTGAGAGGATAAATTTCTGTTTGTTAAAGCCATCCACTTGCGGTATTTCCGTTAGAGCGGCACTAGGTGATAACTAAGAACAGTATCTCTTCCGACTGTGACCAGGCCGGGCCGCAGTTTTGGAAAGGCTTAGTCTGCCTTCGGTTTCTGTGACTCTCAGCACCAGCCCTCTACATGGAGAAGTTCTGAATTCTCAGCCTCTTGCCCTGTGCCCAGAATCAGCAAATGCCCCCAGGGAAAGAGCCTCGCACACCTTCTGTTCATCTCTCTGGGGTTCTCCTTTCTCCAGATCGCGATCTTCATTGCTTCAGTAGTTCTCTGATACCTTTCAGCAGATATTTCTGCTGGGTTTTTTGTTTTTGTTTTTGTTTTTGTTATGGCTCCTGTAGTTGTTTTTGGCAGGAACATTGGTCAGCCTCGAGCTACCGGATATTCCCTGAAGCAGAGGCCCCTCGACCTTCTCTTTTTCAATTTATATTGTAATTTATAATTCTTAGTGTTGTAATATAAACGTAATAGTTCAACGTGACTGTCATAAAAGAGATTATTACTTTGAATTTAAAGACTTTATTATGTACTTTGTGCCTGCCAGATACGGTGCTGGTTGCTGGGGATAAAAACATAAACAAAACATGGTCCCTGCCCTTAAGGAGCTAACAGTCTGTTAGGGGTAAAAAATATGAAAATAGATAGAGCACAATATAATATATGCTCTAACAGAAATGTGTGTGTAGTAAAAGAAATTGTATGGAGGGGAGAATGATTAATTCTTTCTGAGATCATCAGGGAATTTAAAGGATGAAAAAGAGCTCACCAACATGTAGTCAATATTAAGAAATGTTGGATATTTTGTATTCTTTTTTGTATTGTCTTTGAAATCCGGTGTGTATTTTACATTGACTGCACGTTTTGGGTCAGACTCACCACATTTCAAGGGATCAATAGCCACACGTGGCCAGTGGCTGCCCAGTTGGGCAGTGCAGCTCCATCACTTATTTCACAAGCCGCCTCTTAGATGTCACCCTTGTCCCTGAATCATTTGGCAATGCCAATGCCTTCTTTTTCCCTGAAACTCTTATGCCCTTCTGTTGTGCTGGTTTTGGTTCCTCTGGCTTTCTCTCTGGCCCCTCTTACTCTGTCCCGTCCTAAATCTAGGCGTTGCTCTTGTTTCATTCCCCAGACCTCTGCTGCCACTTTTCACACCATTCTTTGCCTTCCCTACTAATTCTGTTTGAAGCTAAACTGTAATCCCACCTGCCTGCTAAAAGTCACCATACTGCATATCTTCTTACCTCAGTTCAACTCATATGAAAACGAGCTCATCTTCCTTCCTGCCTGCCCCTATCTAAATCTAGATCTTCTTCCCATGTTCCACCTAGTTTCCAACCTAAGTTTGAAATTTTGGAGTCATCTCGACAATTTCCTGCCCATGGTCCATAAGCTCCCAAATTTTGTGGATTCTTCCTTCTTGATAGATCCCAAATCTGTTTCTTTCCACCATCTCTGTCATCTACTTAGTCCAGTACTTTCTCATTACTTCACATCCAGGCTATCTGCAATATTTTCCTTCCCTCCAGTTCATCCGGTAAATCATGGCTTGGCATTTGAGGCCCTGCATGTTCTTACCCAAACCATCTTTCTTAGCCTTAGCGTAGTCTGCCATTCCACTTCAGGGCTTGTATTACTCTAAACCAGCTGGTCTACCACTCACACTTTTCTGTCTCCATAGCTCATGCCAAACACTCATTTGGCACCTTCAGAAATTCTGTCTATCTCTCTGGCAATCAGGAAATAGCTAATCTCTGTGAAGATCTTTGTTTTCTGATCTGAGTAACTGCATTTCTCTGAGTTCTATAACATTTATTTACTGCATTGTTTTAGTATGTTCTCATGTATGGTACTTGCTACACAACCAGATTGTTAGCACTTTGAAGTCAGGGACTCCGACTTGTATTCCTTTTTGTGATACAATGTCTTGTACATAATTGTTGATCATTTAACAAATCCTTCCTTGATCTGCATAGTAGCCTTTATATTTTTTGTTTCTGAAATGTATATATCGAGGTTAGATGTGTTTTATTTGAAACATTCGATTATTTATCAGAAAAATGTCAGTTTTCTAAAACGGAATCTTTAACCTGACAATGTAATGAAATGCAACTCTATAACAGAAGGATGATGTTATTGAAGGGAGATGTTATTGGTGAGACATAGAAATAACCATTTCTGTGGATTTTCCTTTAGGTTGACACTGTGAAGATTATTCACATTCATTCTGTCATCATCTTGCGACGTTCCGATAAGAGGAAGGATCGAGTGGAAATTTCTCCAGAGCAACTGTCTGCGGCTTCAACAGAGGCAGAGATATCCTTAGTGGTCAATGAGAAGCTTCTACATGCGCCGGGGCTTCTGGGTTACACTGGCCTGCTTGCTGCCGTCATCCTGCATTAGACAGTTTCACAAATTTTGCTCCTGATCACTGTTCCCCAGTTTTCATATTTACCCCTTAGATCTGATTGCTTGGTGAATCAGACTTTCTCTCCATCTCTCCTTCCCCTGGAAGGTTACATCTTATATAACTATAGGACAATATGAAAACCAGGAAACTGACATTGATACAGTGTATGTGTAGTTCTGTGCTATTTAGTGTGTAGATTTGTGTAAGCACCACAGCAGTCAAGATACAGAACTTTCCCATCACCAAAAGATCTCCCCCTCCTGCTATCCTTTTATACTCACACCACCCACTCACCACCACACCCTCTGTCAACCACTAATCTGTTCTGCATCTCCTCATATGGTTTGAATTTTCCTGCTTCTCTGTAAGCCTGGTTACTTCAGATTGGATGTGAGACATGGTGAATTTTACCTTGAGTACCTATTTTTGTCTTGTTCTGGGATGCTCTTAAGATTCTTAGAAACAGTATGTTCCTTTTGAGTGTTGCTTTTAAGATTTGCTCAGTGGAACCAGAGCAGCTTTTAGGGTAGCACGAATGTTTCCTCACTGCTGAGGCAAGACCATGCTGAGTACTCTACCCGATGGCTCCTGGATCCTGAGGTTTCCCAATCCTGTTGGGGGGAGGGACAGGTGCTATTCCTGGTCCTGCTGGAGCCCCGCTGGGCGTGGTTACCCCCGTTAACCCTTTCTGGTGGTCCTTTCCGTGGCCTCTCGGAGTCTCCTCAGGCATGTGCCCATCAGGACTCTGCTGCATACTTGAGGGGACCCTCTGCACATCATCTCTAGGGTTCTCTCCCTCTGTAGCTCTCTCCTCTTTGGTACCCGTAAAAAAAAAAAAAAAAGAAAAAGAAAAAACTCGTTGCCGTCGAGTCGATTCCGACTCATAGCAAACCTATAGGACACAGTAGAACTGCCCCGTAGGGTTTCCGAGGAGCGGCTGGTTGATTTGAACTGCCGACTTTTTGGTTAGTAGCTGCCCTGCAAATCCTAGCCGCCAGCATTCCCAGTTTTATCTCCTCAACTTGGGAGCCCAGCTTCATTTCCTCTCCCTATTCCATGGCCTGAGGCTAGATACAGTTTGGCAACAGTAGGAACTACAGTGCTTTTCAGACACCAAATGAACAGACATCCCCAGTTTAGTCTCCCCAGTTGTCTAGCAATATCCTCAAAAGAATATTTTCCTCCTTTGTTGTAGATTTAGATAAGCTTTTCAGATACCACAGTGATAAGTATTTGAGTGATCAAACATTAGCTAAATTGGATTAACAGGATGTAATTAAATATATACAGTAATAGAAACCACATGAATTTTATTTTATTTTTTTTAAATTTAGCTTTAAATGGGCAATCTGGGAAATCCGAGCATCAACTTTATTTCATTCTTTTGTTGGCATTAAATCATAATAGGTTTACTTTAAACCTCAAAATGCTTCCTGAGCCCTTATTAAGCATCACAAATTTTGTTCTCTCATTTGGAAAATACCTTGACAGACACACAGGTTGGCTGAACTAACAGGTCGCCCCATGAGAGTTGTGGGCTGGTATCATTCCCATCCTCATATAACTGTTTGGCCTTCCCATGTTGGTAAGTATTAGGTGGTTGCAATGTTAATTGTTCTTACAAATTAGTATCATTTTTGCTTTTCCATTACATAGGATATGTCTTAGTTATCTATTGCTGCTATAACAGAAATACCACAAGTGGATGGCTTTAACAAACAGAAATTTATCCTCTCACAGTCTAGGAGGCTAGAAGTTAGAATTCAGGGTGCCACCTCTAGGGGAAGGCTTTCTCTGTCGTCCTTGTCAATCAGTCTTCTCCTGGTCTAGGAGCTTCTCAGCACTGCGACCCCGAGTCCAAAGGACGCACTTTGCTCCCAGCACTTCTTTCTTGGTGGTATGTGGTCCCTCTCCTTTTATCTCTTGTAAGATAAAAGATCCCCACATGTCTGTCAGTTTCTCATACTGTGGTGGCTTGAGTATTGCTCTGATGCTGCTGGAAGCTATGCCACTAGTATTTCAAATACCAGCAGGGTCACCCATGGTGGACATGTTTCAGCGAAGCTTCCAGACTAAGACAGACTAGAAAGAAGGACCTGGCGATCTACTTCTAAAATATTGGCCAGTGAAAACCTTATGAATAGCAGTGGACCACTGGTATAGTGCCAGAAGATGAGCCCTTCAGGTTGGAAGGCACTCAGAATATGTCTGGGAAAGAGCTGCCTCCTCAAAGTAGAGTTGAACTTAATAACATGGATGGACTCAAGCTTTCAGGACCTTCATTTGCTAAGGTGACAACTCAAAATGAGAAAGAACAGCTGCACATATCCATTAATAATCGGAACATGGACTGTACGAAGTATGAATCTAGAAAAATTGGAAGTCATCAGAAATGAAATGGAATGCGTAAAGATTGATATTCTAGGCATTAGTGAGCTGAAATGAATTGGTATAGCCATTTTGAATCAGACACTTGTTTGCTCTACTACGCTGGAAATGACAAATTCAGGAGGAATGGTATTGCATTCATTGTCAAAATGAACATTTCAAGATCTATCCTGATGTACAGTGCTGTCAGTGATAGGATAATATCCATAAGCCTACAAGGAAGACCAGTTAATACGACTACTGTTCAAATTTACACACTGTTATGGATTGAATTATGTCCCCTAAAAATGTGTATGTCAACTTAGCTTTTCCATGACTCCCAGTATTGTGTGAAAGTCTACCATTTTGTCATCTGATGTGATTTTCCTATGTATTGTAAATCCTACCTCTATGATGTTAATGAAGCAGGACTCAATCTGCAACATTAGGTTGTGTCTTAAGTCAATCTCTTTCAAGCTATGAAAGACAGAAGTTAGCAGAGAGACTTGGGGACCTCATATCACCAAGAAACAAGAGCCAGAAGAACAGCGTGTCCTTTGGATCCACGGTCTCTGCGCTCAGAAGCTCCTAGTCCACGGGAAGTTGATGACAAGGACCTTCCTCCAGAACCAACACAGAGAGAAAGCCTTCCCCTGGAGCTGATGCCCTGAATTTGGACTTCTAGCTACCAGACTGTGAGAGAATAAACTTCTGCATGTTGAAGCCATCCAGTTGTGGTATTTCTGTTACAGCAGCACTAGATAACTATGACGTGCACCAACCACTAATGCCAAAGATGAGAAAATTAAAGATTTTTTTTTTACCAACTCTGTGGTCTGAAATTGATCAAACATGCATTCAAGATGTATTGATAGTTACTGGTGACTGGAACGTGAAAACTGGAAACAAAGAAGAAGGATCGGCAGTTGGAAAATATGGCCTTGGTAATCAAAATGACGCCAGAGATCCCATGATAGAATTTTGTAAGACCAATAACTTCTTCATTGCAAATACTGTTTTTCAACAATATACGTGGCGACTACATACATGGACCTTGCCAGATGGAACACACAGGAATCAAATTGGCCACATCTGTGGAAAGAGACAATGGAAAAGCTCAATATCATCAGTCAGAACAAGGCCAAGGGCTGACTGCAGAACAGACCATCAGTTGCTCATATGCAAGTTCAAGGTGAAGCTGAAGAAAATGAAAACAAGTCCACAAGAGCCAAAGTATGACTCTGAGTATGTCCCACCTGAATTTGGAGACCATCTCAAAAATGGATTTGATGCATTGAACACTAATGACCGAAGACCAGATGTGTTCTGGGATGACATCAAGGACCTCATACATGAAGAAAGCAAAAGGTCATTAGAAAGACAAGAAAGACAGAAAGAAAAAAAAACAGATGTCAGAAGAGACTCTGAAACTTGCTGTTGAACGTCAACTAGCTAAAGTGAATGGAAGAAATCATGAAGTAAAAGAGCTGAACAGAAGATTTCAAAGGGCAGCTCAAGGAGACAAAGTAAAGTATTGTATTGAAACTTGCAAAGAGCTGGAGTTAGAAAACCAAAGGAGAATAGCATGCTCAGCATTTCTCAAGCTGAAAGAATCGAATAAAAAATTCAAGCCTTGGGTTGCAATATTTAAGGATTTAATGGGCAAAATATTGAATGATGCAGGAAGCGTCAAAAGAAGATGGGAAGAATACAGAGTCACTGTACCAAAAAGGGGGGGACCCTGGTGGAGCAGTGGTTAAGTGTTTGGCTGCTTACCAAAAGGTCAGCAGTTTGAATCCACCAGCCACTCCATGGAAAACCTATAGGGCAGTTCTACTGTCCTACAGGGCTGCTATGAGTTGGAACCGACTCGATGGTAACTAGTTTGGTTTGGTTTTGGTACCAAAAAGAATTGGTCGATGTTCACTCATTTCAAGAGGTAGCATATGATCAAGAACAGATGGTACTAAAGGAAGAAGTCCAAGATGCACTGAAGGCATTGTCGAAAAACAAGGCTCCAGGAATTGACAGAATACCAATTGAGATGTTTCAACAAATGGATGCATCACTGGAGGTACTCACTCGTCTATGTCAAGAAATTTGGAAGACAGCTTCCTGGCCAACCGACTGGAAGACATGCATATTTATGCCCACTCCAAAGAAAGGTGATCCAACAGAATGTGGAAGGTATGAAACAATATCATTAATATCACACGCAAGTGAAAATTTTGCTGAAGATCATTCAAAAGTGTTTGCATTAGTGTATCGACAGCGAACTGCCAGAAATTCAGGCCGGATTCAGAAGAGGATGTGAAATGAGGGATATCATTGCTGATGTCAGGTGGATCTTTGCTGAAAGCAGAGAATACCAGAAAGATGTTTACCTGTGTGTTATTGACTATGAAAAGACATTCTGCTGTGTGGATCATAACAAATTATGGATAACATTGTGAAGAATGGGAATTCCAGAACACTTAATTGTTGCTCATGAGGAACCTGTACCTAGACCAAGAGGCAGTTGTTTGAATAGAACAAGGGGATACTGCATGGTTTAAAGTCAGGAAAGGTGTGCATCAGGGTTGTATCCTTTCACCATAGTATTCAATCTGTATGCTGAGCAAATAATCAGAGAAGCTGGACCACATGAAGAACAAAGCTTCAGGATTGGAGGAAGACGCATTAACAACCTTCAAAGACGTGAAGTGAAGAGGACTTGAAGCACTTACTGATGAAGATCAAAGACCACAGCCTTCAATATGGACTGCACCTCAACATAAAGAAAACATAAATCCCCACAACTAGACCAATAAGCAACATCGTGTTAAATGGAGACAATATTGAAGTTGTCAAGGATTTCATTTTTGGAGGCGGAGCCAAGACGGCAGAGTAGTCGGACACTTCCGGTGGAGCCTCTTACAACAAAGACCCGAAAAAACAAGTGATTCAATTATATATGGCAATCTGGGAGCCCTGAACATCAAAGGCAGAGTTGAGGAACTGGACAGAGTGGCAGGGGGAGGGAGAGACGGTTCAGAAGCAGTGAGGAATTGCCAGACCTGACCTGGCGAGAGCCTGAGCACTTCAGGCCTGAGCAGCGCAGGGGTGAGCGGTGAGGCAGGCAAGCAGCCATGCTCGGGAGGCGTGTTTTCTGCACCAGAGGAGACTCAGCACCAGAGAGTCTACACGGCCACCCAGAACCAGTGAGAGGCAGCCCTCAATCCGGAGAAAGAAATTGTGTACGGCTTACCGCGTGGATCAAAAACACCCCCCTTAAGGAAAAACCTCTCTCACATTTACCTCCCTGCTCCCTGCTCTGCACTGGGTCCCGGAACAGCTTCAGCAATTGCCAAGTCCTCTGGGCCCGAAGTAGGATCCGTCACATGCCCAGAGCCCTTTTCCCTGCCTTGAAGGGTGAACAAATTAACAAACAGAGGGAAAAAATAAACTGCTGGCTCTCCTAAGTCAGGAAACCAGCGTAGGCACAGCTCCTTTGCCTAGGCACAGCTCCTTTGCCTAGGCACAGGCATAAGGGATCCACGAACTTTGAGTGCCTTTACCCCTGCACAGACTTGTGTGGGCCATCTCAACACCGTAGGCCCTCATTACCACAGTACAACAGGGTATATACTGGAACACTAACTTCAACTGTTTCAGCTGTAAAGGGGCAGGTTCTTGACATTTGACACTGCTCAGCACATTAAGCAAGGTCTTCACCTACCCACATCAGGGGCCTGAGGACTGGTGGCTCTACCCATGCCACCTAGCCACCTGTGATAGGGCCCATTAATAAGAGGTGCCCCCTAGTCCTTACAGCCAACAGCATTAGGTGCTCATAG